AAAGATGCTCAACATCACTCATTATCAGAGAAATGCAAATCAAAACCACAATGAGGTACCATTACACGCCAGTCAGGATGGCTGCTATCCAAAAGTCTACAAGCAATAAATGCTGGAGAGGGTGTGGAGAAAAGGGAATCCTCTTACACTGTTGGTGGGATTGCAAACTAGTACAACCACTATTGAGAACAGTGTGGAGATTTCCTTAAAAAACTGGAAATAGAACTGCCATGTGACCCAGCGATCCTGCTGCTGGGCATACACACAGAGGAAATCAGAATTGAAAGAGGCACGTGTACTCCAATGTTCATCACATCACTGTTTACATTAGCTAGGACATGGAAGCAACCTAGATGTCCATCAGCAGACAAATGGATAAGAAAGTTGTAGTACATATACACAACGGTATATTACTCAGCTATTAAAAAGAAAGCATTTGAATTAGTTCTAATGAGGTGGGTGAAACTGGAGCCTATTATACAGAGTGAAGTAAGTCAGAAAGAAAAACACCAATACAGTGTATTAATGCATAAATATGGAATTTAGAAAGATGGTAATGATGACCCTATATGTGAGACAGCAAAAGAGACATGGATGTAAATAACAGATTTTTGGACTCTGTGGGAGAAGGCAAGGGTGGGATTATTTGAAAGAATAGCACAGAAACATATATATTATGATTGCAAAATAGATGACCAGTCCAAGTTTGACGCATGAAACGGGGCACTCAAAGCCGGTGCACTGGGACAACCCAGAGCGATGGGATGCAAAGAGAGGTGGGAAGGGGCTTGGGATGGGGGGACACATGTACACCCAGGGCTGATTCATGTCAATATATGGCAAAAACCACCACAGTATTGCAAATTAATTAGCCTCCTATTATAATACATAAATTCATTTAATGAAAAGAAAAGGACAGACTGGCTTCCTAACAGAGAAGAATCCAATGGCACCGAGAAACAAATGTGTAGAGAATCCTAACCCTAAGATTTTTGTTGAGATCACCATACAGTACAAAGACAACACACACACACACACACACACACACACACACACACACACACACACGATCCTCTGCAACCAATTATGACTGTGTTTGAGAGTAGAACCTGGTATATTCTTGAGGTTTGAGGTTGGTGACTCCTATCAGAAGTGTGGAATGTTAAGGGTTAGAGTTGGGGAAAAAGACAATTTTGAAGGTTTATGAACAAGTAAAGGAAATGATTAAATATGCCCTTTAGAAGCATCATTCTGCCAAATGTGTACAAGACAAATCAGAACTAGAGCAACTATGAATTGGGAAGAGCTTCAAATAACTTAGAACCCATCAGGTAATGAGAAGCTGCATAAGGAACAAATGCAGTATGAGGGCAGAAGAGTTGTTAATTTTAGGAATAGAAGCAACAGGATATACTCACTAGTTTATGTAGCAGAGGAGGCCAGAATGACATGTCATCCCCTCAAAGCTGTGAATAAGAATTGTAAAAATGATTATCTAAATAAGTCCAATTCAAAAGGTAAGGAAAATAAACACTGACAGAAAATGGTGATTTCAGTGTATGAATGTGTTTTGCTTGAGATGCCCAGGTTCCTTTGAGGAATGATGCCCCACAGACTGCTGTTAATGTGATTCTTGACCTCATAAGAAAGACAAAGGCTAAAGATACAGTTTAAGAGTCTCACATATGCAGAAAATAATTTGCAAAACAGAAATGAGTAACAAGCACAGAAAATAATACACTTGTGTAACAATTTAAATTTATATTAAAATAATTGGATAATCTGTCCAATTTCCTTTAAAAATTGTGTTTGTGTATAATTGTGTTCCCTTGCATCTATGCTTTGTTTTCTAGAGGCATTCAGTGCTAGCAAATATACACTGAAACAGACTTGTAATAAATATAGATAGTTTGTTTTCCAAAAAGACATTCCAAATATTTACATGCTCACCAAATCCTTACTGGGAATCTTTTATAAATGTGTGGTTTTAAAATGTCTATTAATGTCTATTACCAGCTTATCTCTTATGATTTTGACTTTTTATAATTTTAACCTTTATTACCAATATATATTTGGATCAGTCAGTCAGTTCAGTTGCTCAGTCGTGTCCGACTCTGTGACCCCATGTACTGCAGCACTCCAGGCTTCCCTGTCCATCACCAACTCCTGGAACTTATTCAAACTCATGTCCATTGAGTCAGTGATGCCTTCCAACCACCTCATCCTCTGTCGTCCCCTTGTCCTCCTGCCTTCAATCTTTCCCAGCATCAGGGTCTTTCCAAATGCATCAGTCCTTCGCATCAAGTGGCCAAAGTACTGGAGTTTCAGTTTCAGCATCAGTCCCTCCAGTGAATATTCAGGACTGATTACCTTTAGGATGGACTGGTTGGATCTCCTTGCTGTCCAAGGAACTCTCAAGAGTCTTCTCCAACACCACAGTTTAAAAGCACAGTTCTTCCGTGCTCAGCTTTCTTTACAGTCCAACTCTCACATCCATACATGACCACTGGAAAAACCATAAACCATAGCTAACAAAGACCTTTGTTGGCAAAGTAATGTCTCTGCTTTTTAATATGCTGTCTAGGTTGGTCATAGCTTTTCTTCCAAGGAGCAAGTGTCTTTTAATTCCATGGCTGCAATCACCATCTTCAGTGATTTTGGAGCCCCCAAAAATAAAGCCTCTCAGTGTTTTCATTGTTCTCCCATTTATTTGCCATGAAGTGATATAATATATATTCACATATGTACATATATAGTCTATATTTTGTGAAATCAAATAGATCATCATTTTCCTTTTTGATATTTTAAATTTCTTTATAACTATTTTTATTCCAAGTCCCTAAATTTTCTTCTTTGAATAAAATACTCACTCTAGACAGAAAATTAAAGAATATTTCTGGGTTTTTTTGTTTGTTTTGTTTTTTCTTTTTGAACTGGGTAATTCACCTAGAGTTAAATTTGGTGTTTGGTGTGAGTTAAGGATAAAAATGTATTATTTTCATCCACCTTCACTTAACTATTATTTCAGACTGTAAAGTATTTTGATAAACTTCCTCTAAGAGGTCAAATTTCATTCATAGATTATCTAACCTTTCACTTATTCACTCAATCAACAAATATTTACCATATGTGTATTATTTATCAGTTAATAATCTAAAAGTAGAAAATATAGCAGTGAATAAAACATATTTTTACATGTCTACAATTATGTATCTTTTATTTTATTGTATAGAAATGGACAAGAAGAAGGGAAAGAAGTTAAAAAATTAGCCTTTTTTCTTGTAAAGTCCTTTTTTGGAGGGAAAACAAAGCAGGAAAGGAAATAAGAGTAGAAGTGGATTCTAGAGTGAATAGTGGTAGAGAAGTTGAAATCATTGATTATGGATAACTCTTTAAAGAAATGTGTGTTTATTCTCACAGGGGATTTCTGCAGAGGTTTTGGTTTGTGTTTTTATGTGAGAGGAATAACAGAGCACACAAGAATATCTGTTACTGAAGATATGAGCAGAGTGATGGAGCTGTGTTTTTGAAGAAGTGAGAGGATTTAATCCAGGTATAGTTTGTAGCTTTGCAGAGACCTTTCACTAATGAGATGAGGCAAAAAGGAAGAATGTGTGATTGCTAAATTCTTCAGATCACTTTTGTTTTCTCAGCGATATACACACAAAACCCCACATTTTTGGAGTGCTTTGTTAATTATCTTTACTCGGGCAGCAATCAGCCAGTAGAGTGATTTAACTGATTATTTCAATCTACAGTGTAAACTAAAGATTCTTTAAAAAAATTCTGATAATTGCATTTAAAATCTCTATTAAATGAAAAATTTATTTCAGAATCAACTTTGCTTCCCCCCCCCACTCATCCAAATCATCCAATGATTAAGAGCTCGTTGTATTTTTATTACACATTCTAAGGGAAAAGCGTGCACTTACTAAGTGCTAGGTGCTATGACAAAAGCTTACGTTGAGAAATACTGTTAAGCCTTTAAATAACACAATGGAGTAATTAGTAATATTTGATCTATTATGAGAAAAATAAAACTAAAGAGATCATGTAATCCATATGCACAAACACACAGCTAGCATGAGTTAATGCTATGGTTTAAACTTCAGAAGTATGAATCCAGAACCTCTGTGTTTAATCCTTGTATTTCCTCACTCCATTATAAACTTTTTATCACCCTAAACAGAAAAATGTTTAAATAATATCATGGCAGTGAATTCTTAGAAAGTACTATGATTTTGTGTAATGATAAAGCATTTTTTTAAATTTTATGATTTATGGCTTAGCTCATCCAAGGAGATAAGCTATGCCATGAAAAGGAACCTGTATTTGCATTTATCTCACATTATGAGAATGCAACTGAATTATCTTTTAAAATTAATATTTCAATTTGTTGAAATCATAAGAATAAAATGAATTTTATAAAAATTATGTTATCTCTAAAATACAAGGCAAAGATATATTTGACAAAATTGATATCATGTAGTAACTCAGGTTAGAAGTAACACTGTGTCTCTTACTGAGTTCAGTTCAATCACTCTGTCATATCTAACTCTTTGCAACCCTATGGACTGTAGCACGCCAGGCTTCCATGTCCATCACCAACTCCCGGAGCTTGCTCAAACTCATATCCACTGAGTTGGTGATGCTATCTAACCATCTCATACTTTGTCATCCCCTTCTCCTACCACCTTCAATCATCCTCAGCATCAGGATCTTTTCCGATGACTCTGTTCTTCACATCAGGTAGACAAAGTATTGGAGTTTCAGCTTTAGCATCAGTCCTTCAAATAAATATTCAGGACTGATTTCCTTTAGGATGGTTGCATCTCCTTGCAGTCCAAGGGACTCTCAAGAGTCTTCTCTAACTCCGCAGTTCAAAAGCATCAATTATTTGGCACTCAGCTTTTTTATAGTCCAGCTCTCACATCCACATATGACTACTGAAAATAACCATAGCTTTGAATAGATGGACCTTTGTTGGCAAAGTAATCTCTCTGCTTTTTAGTATGCTGTCTAGATCAGTCACAGATTTTCTTCCAAGAGGCAAGCGTGTTTTAATTTCATGGCTACAGTCACCATCTGCAGTGATTTTGGAGCCCAAGAAAATAAGCTCTGTCACTTTTTCCATTGCACTCCCATTTACTTGCCATGATGTGATGGGACCAGATGCCATGAACTTAGTGTTTTGAATGTTGAGTTTTAATCCAACTTTTTCACTCTCCTCTTTCACTTTACCCAAGAGGCTATTTAGTTCTTCTTCACTTTTCTGCCATAAGGGTGGTGTCATCTGCATTTCTGAGGTTACTAATATTCTCCAGGCAATCTTGATTCCAGCTTGTGCTTCATCCAGCCTGGCATTCTGCATGAAGTACTCTACATATAAATTAAATAAGCAGGGTGACAATATACAGCCTTGACATACACCTTTCCAGATTTGGAACCAGTCTGTTGTTCCACTTTTGATTCTTGATCTGCATAAAGATTGCTCAGGAGGCAGGTCAAGTGGTCTGGTATTCCCATCTCCTGAAGAATTTTCCACAGTTTGTTGTGATCCACATGGTCAAAGGCTTTGGCATAGTCAATAAAGCAGGAGTAGATGTTTTTTCTGGAACGCTCTCACTTTCTCGATGATCTGACAGATGTTAGCAATTTGATCTCTGGTTCCTCTGCCTTTTCTAAATCTAGCTTGAACATCTGGAAGTTCATGGTTCATGTACTGTTGAAGTCTGACTTGGAGAGTTTTGAGCATTACTTTGCTAGTGTGTGAGATGAGTGCAATTGTGTGGTAGTTTGAGTATTCTTTGGCATTGGCTTTCTTTGGGATTCAAATGAAAACTGACCTTTTCCAGTCTTGTGACCACTGCTGAGTTTTATAAATTTGCTGGCATATTGAGTGTAACACTTTTACAGCATCATCTTTTAGGATTTGAAATATCTCAACTGGACTTCCATTGCCTCTGTTAGCTTTGTTTGAAGTGATGCTTCCTAAGGCCCACTTGACTTTGCATTCCAAGGAGTCTGGCTCTAGGTGAGTGATCACACCATCACGATTATCTGGGTCATGAAGATATTTTTTGTATAGTTCTGTGTATTCTTGTCACCTCTTCTTAATATCTTCTGCTTCTGTTAGGGCCATACCATTTCTGTCCTTTATTGAGACCATCTTTGCATGAAATGTTCCCTTGGTATCTATGATTTTCTTGAAGAGACCTCTAGTCTTTCCCATTCTGTTGTTTTCCTCTATTTCTTTGCATTGATCACTGAGGAAGGCTTTCTTATTTCTCCTTACTATTCTTTGGAACTCTGCATTCAAATTTGTATATCTTTCCTTTTCTCCCTTGCCTCTAGCTTCTCTTCTTTTCTCAGCTATTTGTAAAATCTCCTCAGACAACCATTCTGTTTTTGCAATTTTTTTCCCCCTTGGGGATGGTCTTGATCACTGTCTTCTGTACAATGTCAC